ATGTGATTGGTTCCTAGGCACCTCATGGTTGTAAAAATATGGCGCTTTGAAATCGGATTAATCTTTTTGAATCACCCTGTACTTATTTAGGTTGAATAAAACTAGTAAATTTACTTATTACCACACGAAGCCATTTTTATAGTGTAGTTTTCCTCGTATTAGTGAATAAAAATATATATTACACCTTCTATATGCCACTCCTAAGTACGAGTGCCTTAACATGATCATAAACATAAGCGATGGTTGGTATAGTGTAGTGGGTCGCCTTCTACACTGTAGACTGGGGTTTAATCCCATGCAAGTCACTCTGGATGAGAGAGTCTGCCAAAAACGTAAACATGACATGACTGAGAAGGTCAGTTAATGTTTTTTTTATCGCTAACTGGGCTAACAACTCTAGCCGATGTTAAATAGGCCCAGAAAGAGTTCAAAAATATTTCTCTCTCAATCTAATATGTTGGCACATCATCCACTGAGGAGAAAAGACTTTGTGTAAGACAACGAGTCCTCATCGGCATCCAATGTTATACCAGTTAGCTGTAGTTTTCTGAACACACAGCCTCCGTTACTTGAAAACTGTCAACTGTTTTTTTTTTAATAAATAAGGATGTTTTCAAATGTATTCCTTTGCTTGCTGCTTAATTTTTGTACAACTGATCGTTTAGCCATCTGACCTAAAAGAGTAAGCCTCTGGCCAAAAGGTTAATTGCTGCCAAGGTACCTCTTTTAAACCCATGGTCAACTGCATATCTATAAATTAACTCTTGTGGATAATGGAATATCAAAATTATTCAGAATGCACATGTCTAACAAGTATTCACTTGTATACCTCCCAGCCCTAATCAACAACACACTGACTCAGTTTTTAAATTTAAATTTTCACTGAAAAATCATAGCCTTGCAGAGAGACAGAGAGAGAGAGAGAGAGAGAGAGAGAGAGAGAGAGAGAGAGAGAGAGAGAAAATGTGAGAAATAGAGACAGGGCTGTTATATCTCAGCTGCGAAGCAGACGCAAAGACGCTCCTCTAATGAACATCAGCACAAGGAAACAAGAAAATTATTTCCTCCAGCTGCAGCAAAACAGGCTGAAATTAGCCTCCTGAAGGAGCGTGCATCGGCACAATTCACACATTTAGCCTCAGAGCCCACAAAGAGTTCCTGATCAGGAGAGCCAGAAGGGTCCTGAAGCGCCTCAGAAGGAATAATCACAGCTATCAGAGCAAACATTACAGTGACAAAGAGAAAAACTACAGGACCAACCTGTGGCGTTAAATGCTGCAGTGAATGCACAGATCAGTGTGTTTGCTGTAAATCACTTTGCTGGTAAAAAAAAACTTTTTTTTTAAATAGCCTGACGTACCACATGCTAATCATCAACATGTTCTGCAAAATACATCAAGATGCCACAATCTGATCTATTCAATGCTTCGTTTATCCTTTACTGCATCTGTAAATGACTCAAAAGTGTTGACAATCACGCTTTACAATAAAGCAGGTTTGAGGTTGTTAGGTTGAAGATGAATTAACAATTCTTTGAAATCGAAGGTGGACTGTATTTCAGCAAAGTGACTGAAATATGCATTGGATGAATGCTGAATGGACTGAAAGCACATCTGACTCTCTCTTGCATGTAAAAAGCAGTCTTTTAAATCAAATTAGTCATCACCTTTCAGTGGTTCTCAGTTTAATTCTAACTGGTCAGATATTACTGCAGGGTTAACAGTCCTGACGTATTCAGCTATAAGCGTGGGATGAGAAACAGCCTATTTGGTGCAAGTTTCCAGCTCATTGCAGAAATGCACTGCTGAAAAAGACAAAATCCTACTGAGATAAATACTGTACGATAGTACCAATATAAGATTCTACAACTTGTAGAAACAGCAGAACCCTTTTGGCATTATACAGAAGTTCACTTTGCTCTCAAAACAGCCTCAGTTCTTCACAGCATGGATTCCACAAGACTGTGGAAACATTCCTTTGAGATTCTGGTCCATGTTGACATGCTTGCATCACAAAATTCCTGTAGATTTTTCAGTTTCACTTTGCTGCAAATCTACCACATCCCAAAGGCATTACATTGGAATCAGATTAAATGTTGCCATTAGCAGATGGGTAAATTGTGGCCATGAAGGGATACATATGGTCAGCAACAATACTCAAACAGTCTGTTGACTGCAATGATTGGTATTAACAGGCCCAAAGTGTTCCAAGAAAACATTCCCCACACCATTACACCACCTCCACCAGCCTGGACTGTTGACATAAGGCAGGTTTGGTCCACAGATTTGTGCTACTGGTGCCAAATTCTGACCCTATCATCTGTGTGTCTCAGCAGAAACTGATTTTCATCAGACTAGGCTATGTTTTTCCAGTCTTCAACTGTCCAGTTTTGGTGAGCCTGTGATCACTGCAACTGCAGATTTCTGTTCTTGGCTGACAGATGTGGAACCTAGCGTGGTCTCCTGCTGCCCATATCTGCATGATTTTATGCACTGCACTGCTGCCACACAATTGGCTGATTAGATCATTTCATGAATCAGCAGGTGTACAGGTGCTTCTACTAAAGTGCTCGGTGAATGAAGGCCTTAACTTGTATTTGTGGATCCAGCGATGGGATGGTTATTATTGACAATGGTTTATAAAAGTATTTCTGAGCCCACGCAATGATATCCATCACAGAAACATGCCTGTTGTTAATGCAGTACGATCTGAGGGGTTGAAAATCACAGGCATTCAGCTGTGGTTTTTGGCCTTTACTTTCATGCACAGAAATTCCTCAGAATTCCCAGAATCTTTTATGATATAAAACACTGTAGAGGGTGAAGTACCTACAATCCTTGCAATCGCCACGTAGAGCAATGTTATTCTTAAACTGTTGGATTTTTCCAACTTGTTCTGGAAACGCATTGCTAAAGAACAATAAAATGAGATAACTACTGTCCTTACTAATATAAGGTAATATGAAACAGTACACAGCAGAACCCTTTTGGTGCTATATAGAACATTTTGATTTATTTCCAGTCAAGATGGCCTTTAGGGATAAGTTGTTTATTTTTTCTGGAAATTTGTGAGAGATTAGATATACGATATAAGACATAAGATTCTACTTGTGTAAGGAAGAGGAAAAAAATTAAACAGAACAATGGTCTGACCACACCAGAGTCCAAACCTTGACATTAATGAATGTGTTTAGGATTACTTGGATCTTGAGAAGCAGAAAAATGCAACCAACTTCTAAGACTGAACTTTGGACGTGTGGAAAAATATCCCTGCAGATTTCTTTGAAAAACTGAAAACAAGTCTTGTGAAAAGAATGGAATCTGTAATAAAGGCAAACAGTGGACACACTAAATATTAAAAAATAATTGAAAAATATTATACTTAGTGTTGGAGCCCTCTGTGTAATTTCCATGTTTTCTATTTTTTTCTGACAGTGAAGAATGATAACTTGTAATGACCTTTTCAAATGAATGAAGAGTGGTGTCTGCTTCTATGCAGTACTCAATATAGCTATTGTGTTCGCCAAAACCCCTTTAAGAACCACTATTTTAAGGGTGATATGAGAACAGCAGTACTTTCGCTATCAAATGACTCCTGTGAAAAATTCTCCAATATTGTCTGTTTTTTTTTCTTCGCAGTTCATGCTGGCAGCAAGATTATATTGGGCATAGTCCGAAAAGCAAGCACTGAAACAAATACCAGCTTTTAGGCGTCGTCTCTCGCGCTGACAAGTTCCAGACAGTGTGTGACCTGATAGATGACAGTTTCACCACCCACCGCTGAGATTTCCCTTGATATTTACAGAGCATGCCAATTCTCTTACCACTCCAGCACCATTTGTAGGTCAATGCTTAAAAAAGGAAGGCTGAAGGAAAACAGGTAGGGAGTAAAAACAGATGGAGGTAAAGCATGGGTCCACAGGATATTTCTCTTTTATGGCTTTGCAATGGACAGCTCTGAGATTTAATTTCCCTCATGTGATAAAAATAATGAGGGGTTACAGGGTGGGCTCTGTCCCTCATAGTACCAGCCTAACTCACACATGTGCACACGCACACACAGGACACAGAGGGTGGCAGACACAGCTCCCGGCAACACAGCATGCAATTAGTGTTGATCGCTTCTGGAGGACTGGCCACAGTCACACAAAACTTAAACATGCACACACACACACACACAGCTGTGGGGGTCGTTCCACTTCCTCAGAACCACCGAATGATAAGTGGTCTTTAAAAAGAAAGTCCACCTCGAGGCTAATGGCAAAGTCACAAGGAGACTGGACACCAGTGCCAAAACCTTCTGTCCAACAAACAAACCAACTCTGACGCTTCTGTTAGTGAAGTGTATCTACTGAGCTGTAGACGACAGAGATGGGTGTGGCTATTCAAATATGGAGACCTCCAAACTCATCTCAGTATATGTTTACTTATCACAGGGCTGCGCAATATGGACCAAATTCCTTACGTTATTCAACAGTTTAACAATCTAACTGGTTAAAATGCATTTTGCTCACTTTCGTTCACAGATAACAGCACATTTTTCTCAATAACTGCATCACTCTGCTGCATAGCAGTAGGTGGTATGATTAACAAAAAACTTATATCACAGAATAATTAAAATTAATGACGGGTTCAATATATAGATTTTTTTTCAAATAAAACACATTTCAGATGCGTGACTAGTTTTGTAAATTAATAGTGGCTTATTTTTAGCATCTTAAAATCAACAGGAACTGTGACAATTTTTTCATTTCATACCTCTAATAACAACAGAAACATTTCTTTGCCTCATACTGTTCATTTAAAACAGCATAAATGGTCAAAATGCCCATCTCTGCTCTCTTTTTTAAGACCACACACGCATGAAAAGCAGAAGGTAGGCAGAGGAGTATTCCTCCAGAAACAGCTGCCTTAATTGAGAGGTTCTTCTCACGTACAGCTCTGGCTCTTCACCACCCAGTAAAAGAGAACCATAATGAGGTCAACAGGTCGAGGACTCACCCTTGTCTGTCCGAGTCGACCAGGACGCGCACAAGAATTCCCGTAACTGCTACCAATATGGGGTAATGATCCACACTCTCCAGCCCTGCACAGCAAACACATAAACAGCCCGTGTTAAACCAACACTGCTCAAACAACGGCCATATACAAGATGCTACTACAGGACTGCGTGATGCAGAACATTTCATTTCACATCAGTTTATTCTCTCAGTAAAATATAAATAAAGAAATACATACATCTCAAGGCAAACTCACTGAAACTTGAAACCACAGGCTAAACCACCAGGCTAATGTTGCAGAAAAGCAACAGATATAAAGGATGCTTGTGTTCATGCATATTTCATCCTGATCAACATGATTTGCAGGGACATTCTTCTCAGCAGTCACTATGAAAATCGCTCTGCCACTCATTCTCTGTGTTCAATCTAATTCCCACTACGCCATCCGAAAGCAATTTGCAGAACACCTGATTCTTGAATATTGAGCAGCAATCTAGAGAACAGACAGACAATAGCGTCAGGAAACCTGAGTGGCGTCTTTGATAATGATTCTGTCATTCTCTTCATGCAAATTAGGTTAAGCTGATGGGCCAATATTGGTCTACACTTAACTAAAAATGGGATTTCTGAAGTGGAGAAAAATCCTTAAGTATAATTATTTAGAACATGGATAAACATTAAACAAAACAAGATGCTCTTTTTGATCGCTAAATGTAAACATGATATAAGAAATTAATCAAAATGGTCAGTTTACAACTTTAACATACAATACCGCTAAGCTCTTTTTCGGGGTTTTGACATTTTCCATTACCTGTGATAATGCTGCTTGAATGTACTGTGCATTTAGACAGCTCATGTTTTTGAATCCATATTTAAGGGAATTCGTCACTAAACGATGAATCATGAATGAAAGTTAACAGCACACTGTTAGCTTTACGCAGTTAAGATGCTACTTTGCTCTCACTAGCTTACATTTATGATTATTCATGTAAAAATGTTTTGTGTGAAGTATTTGATGAAAGAAGTAGCCCAACCAAACATGGTAATAACATGGCTAACAACAAACCCACTAGTTAGAAGTGGGCTAGTTTGCATCAAGCTAACTGGTTGCTAATCACTTTCATTCATTGTTAGCAACATTAGCTTTACTTGACTGGAATGTTCTTTTAAAAGGATATTTCACTGATTACTCACAATGTCCAAAAACACTACACTAAATTTAAAATAACTGAATCATTAAGATGCAACAAAGTCATCAGAGTGGTTTGATGTGAAGTCCGAATTGATCACAGTGTCTGAAGTGTTTGATGCCTTTTACCAACAATATCTACGAAGTCTGAGACATTGTTTTATGCTAGTTTTGAGAAGGTTTAGATAGCAGCCGAGAGTGACTTTCCAACCGTGGCTTGGAGGCTTCTTGGGCCGGCCGTTTGAGTAGTGCTGCATCGCAGCTGTGATGCGGCCTGGACCATCCGCTTGAGTGACGATGTTTTGCGGCTACAAGGCTGCCTGGACCAAGGACCTGATAGACACTACATCGCAGCCATTTTTCCTGCCTGGGCCGACAGCTTGGATGGCGCTGCGCTGCAGCTATAGGGCTGCCTGGACCACCACGCCGCAGCTGCAAGGCCTCTTGGGCCAGTTGCCTAAGCGACGCTATGTCGTAGCTATGTAGCTGCCTGGGCTGGCCACTTGGGTGGCTGGACTAGTGGTGTTTGGCTGCAGGAAAATGCTACCCCTACGTGGCTAAGGACATTTTCAGCCTTCGAGGCTTCCTGGGCTGGCTGCCTGTGCAACACACTATAGCTGTGGAGTGAGACTCTTTTTAGGCTAGCAAAGCCCCTCGATACCTGTTGGAACTATAGAATTGTGTGTGTGTGTGTGTTCGTGTGCATCTGTGTTGTTTTATTTTTTGTTGTTTATGAGTTTTGTTATTTTCTGATCTCTTTGTAAAGCATCCTTGGGTTTGAGAAATTATATAAATTGAACTTATTATTACTATAATTTTAGGTAGAATAACTGATCATTTTATATAGTAAATTAAATGGCTATATTTACACTGTACACATCATGTCCCCAGTTCCTATCACTACCACTGTAAAGAAAATCTAAGTCAGTAATTTTGTCTACATTTCACATGAAACAACTCTGAATGACTCTACGTCTCAATGATTAAATCATGCAAAATATCAGAAAAATCAATGGAATTCCTCTTTCCAACTGCATATTTATATTACCTGTTAGCCATGAAAGAGCACAGCTGATCTACAAACAGCTCTCCTCAGCACAGACACCTTCCAGCAGTGCAGCTAACGGCACACTCAGTACTAAGAAGGTGACCCAGTGTCATTCATTATGAATCTCGTCATTCTACTTTGCCATGTCTGATAAATTGCCCCCCTGCGCTGAGGACAACCTCAATACCCTCTGGCAAAATTGAGTTATGATTTTACACTCAGCCATTGTCTCCTTTCCTCCCCATCCATCAGCACACCTGTCCAACTTTCAAAAGCTTCTGCAGCCGATTTGGACGTGGAATGATACAAAAAGTGCGCATTTAGAAAGGCTTAAATTGGAGAGACTTAAAGTAGGTTGATGGATGGCAAATGAGAGAAAGCAAAAAGGTCAATTGGCTTTTCTCAAAAAACTTCCACTGATATAAATTTACCCATTTAATGGAGCCTCGCCGCTCCAACTGCATTAAAATGAATATACAGTATAAGATGCCCTTGAACATAGATTATCCTTGAAAAAAGCTTTTAAAAATGCAAGTGTTATTTTCATATATGGGACGGGACAAAATGTATGAAAGTTTCCTATCATAATATCAGTGATAATGTATTATTGTGGTATTGATAAAATGTACTAAATATATATGTACTCGTTAAATAATAAACTTTTTAATTGTCATATTAGATCATATGTTGTTTTCACTTTCACTTCAAATCAGCAAAACGTAAGTTGATCAAGGGTGTTCAAACTTTTGCATATGACTGTATAAGGAGTAGGGAGCAATTTAAGTTTCAGCCTACCTCAGAATACTACGTAAGGCACATCTAACCTAAAAGACAGGCATCTGAATTTGAGATTTTCAATTTTATGATGCACTTTTACAGTGAATCATTCAGTAAACAGTTACAGTGAATCAGTCAGCAAACAGCTTTACAGTGAATCATTCCGCTAACATGGAATTTACTGCAGGTATAGCATCTTAGTTTAGCTTAGATTAAGCTAAGTTAGCTCTTAGTTTAGCCATCTTTTAGCCTATCATTTTAGAATCTTAGCTTAGCTTAGATTAGGCTAACTTAGTGCTTAGTTTAGCTATCTTTTAGCCTAGTCATTAAGTAGTTGTCTAGCCTACCTCACCTATCAGTACATTACACAGTACACTCACAGCCCAATGGGTTGTTGGTGGGTTGGTGCATTAATGTAGAATTCAGTGGCTGTTAAGCAGTCAGATACGTGCGTATATTGAGTATTTTTCAGCTTTCAATGTTAATCAGCCAATCAGATTTTAGATACAGAACTATCCATTTAAATGGGCCCATATCAAAGAATTCTTGAAGGCATAGTAAGAAAATGGTTTATTATTGTTTATTACTAAGGTATAGAGAGAGGTTTGAAAACGGTCCTGTAAGAGTGAATTATGACCGTTTTGGTACATAAAACCACACAAACAAGTGGACCTCAGGGAGAATAAATACAATAAAAAAGGAATATGATATGGACCCTGCTGCGTTCTTTTAAATCTATCATATTTCTTTATAACAGCAGAAAATTAAGAAAAACTTTCTTTGCATTTGTCCTGACCACACCACTGACCTTCACTGTGATTTTATTTGAACAATTACAATTTTAAAGAATGTGATTATCCCTATCATTGGGTTTAATACTGCAGCATATGATTAACACTGTTAACCTTAACACCCGAGTGACAGAGCAAAGTGTGCTCACGTCATATGTCCGAGCATTACCTGGGAGACGAAGGTTGACCACCCGGTCGAAGAGGTTTCTCTCGGCAGTCACTCGATTCAACACCTGGTTCAGCAGCTGGAGGAGAGAATAGAAAAGGTCCTTATTATTAAAACAACACAGATGCACTCAAAGCTCTCTCTGCTACAGATTCACAGTGAGACGCTTCATACAGTCATTGTGAAGTCTGTGCAAAATTGCTAATAATAATAACTAATTAGGGAGAGATTCTTTGAATGTGGTGCTGTCAGAAGTTATTTATTTATTTATCTCAGACACATCAATACATCTGGTCTGCTATGATTAATCCATTCTTTACTTGCACACACATGCTTCGCACAGCAACATCAGGTGGAATTAGCTGTTGATGAGGGGTGAATTACAGCAAATAAGGGAGGGGGCGAGAGAGAGAAAGATGATTGTGGAGCAAATTATGTGTTGATGATAAAGTGAGGCAGGTTCAATCAGCACTTAATTAACGATAGAATGTCGTGTCGCCCTCAGAAAGGAACAGAAATGGCCAGTAGAGCACGCACACAAACACAAAGAAGGGATTCTTCAGACGTCACTAGTGATAAAAGTGCTCGTTGTTAACACAAAGGCGTAGAAAAACTATAAATAAAAGAAGGAAATCAAACACACACACTCACTGACATGGTGCTAAAAAGTCACAAGAAACTCTGATTTGTCAAAAATGTGGAAAGCACAGAAGCTTAAATCAGGAAGGTTTGTGTTTGATTGTGGTAAAATTGGTCATGTTACATAAAAAAAACTGCAGCTTGGATACAGATATGTGACTTAATAAACAAAACCCAGCACAGAGGAGCATCTTCAGACGTTCTTTAGGGTGGGTGAGCCAGTGCAATGTAAAACTGAAAAAACCCACATGCTAACATACCCAATACCCTGTTATCAGTTATTGAATTTCCAGTCAAAACAACCATTGCGTACAAGTTACTCAAGTTTTCAGGAGAGCTGAAGAGATTAAACATAAGATAATCCAACTGCACAAGAAATTGGAAAGTCAAAGGGAAATATGAAGAAAAAGTTTCCAGAGTTTCCAAAAACGGGTGTTAAAACAACTATACAAGATCTGATAGACCACTAAAACTGCCCCACCAGATAAACAGCACTTCAAGCTTTCATCTTTGAGAGAGAGGAGAAAATCAAGCTGCTTCAGATCTGAAAACATCCACAGGTGTTTCTGTCCATCCTTCCACTGTGAGAAGACGACTCAGAGCTATGGGTCTGAAGGATGTTTCAACAAGCCCTTATACTGAGAAAGTGAAATAGACATACAAAAACACCTGCAAATCAAACAAAGAAGCTGCTCATGTTCTCAGAACAATTGACTGTCCACCCCAGAGTCCAGACGTCTACATCACTGAATGTGTTTTAGATTATTCAGATCGTGAAAAGTAAAAAATGCAAGCACCTTCATGAACTTTGGAGGTGTGGACAAATATCCCAGCAGATTTCTTTGAAAAACTGAAAGCAAGTTTCACAAAAAGAATGAAAGCTGTAATAAAGATGGTGGACACACTAAATACTGGAAAAATATTTAGTTGTTCAGGCTGCCCTGTGATAGACTGGCGACCTGTCCAGGGTGTTTCCAGCCTTTCACCCAATGACCGCTGGGGTAGGCCCCAGCACCTCCTGCAGCAAAGGAGGTTTAGCGGCTTAGATAATGTGTGTGTATGTGTGTGTGTGTGTGTGTGTGTGTGTGTATAATTGTTCAGGCTTCTGTGTATTTTTCCTGTTAAATATATGTTTCTGCTTTTTCCTGTTGCTGAAAAATAAAAACTTAAAGACTGAAAATATATTACTATATATGTGTAAATCTACTATATGCACTATATTAATATATATATTAATACACGCACACACACACACACACACACGCACACACACATTTTTGTCATTTTTCAGTTTTTGATGAAAAAAGAAATGTCCCAAAATGACTTTGAAAAAACTCTGGATTCACTGACATTAAAAGAAGGTTTTTTCCTTCTCCTGTAAAGTTACTATGTTTGGAGATTTTGTATGAGTTTGGATGTATGGACAAGCATAAAATAAGGCACCTGCTATCTAACGACTGTTTACGGTTTAACCACTGTTTGGAAAGATCTTTAAGAGTCACTAAACATGACAGTTTGCTCCCCCAGGAAAGGATTCTTGCTGTATTTAACATGCAAAGCTTTCAACACAGTTTGCTGCACAGTTTCAAAAAGACTGAACAATAAATTGCATAATTAGTTGTTCAACACAGCAAATAAACAATACTAACAATGATAACAATGTGTGAAAAATTTTGACAAAGTGGTTTGGTTTTTACATCTGTCACTGACTCATCGTGTAAAAGGTCATTCCTGATGTCATCATAACGTGTATCAGACAGCCATTCTCTGCTACCCTGATCATAAAGCTGCTTCTGTTCCACACAGCCAATCGTGTGCTGTCACCCACCTGAGCCAGTCGCCGCAGCAACAGCTCGGCCGAGGGGCGGTTCCAGTCCAGGAAAATCTCTGGCACCAAAGTGACTGTCATCTCCAGCACCCGCAGCAGGCTGACTGACAGATCGAAGCAGGTGGCGCACACCTTCAGCTGCCTCGTGTCCACAAAGTTGCGCTCCGGACGCTCCGCCGCCTGCTGGATCTGTCACACAACGACTGATTACTACACAGAATGACAAAACATTTCGGTCATTAGGGCTGCAATTAAATTCTGTTTGCGTTTTGCTTTGCAGTATATTAAAAACATACTGATGAATCCATGCCCTAACAGTGTTAAAGGGGAATTTTTACCACCGATTTTTTTTTTAATTTGTAACTAATTAAGTCATTGTAAACATTAAGTCATTCACAGTGGTTTGATATGAAATAGTCAATTGGTCAATCATACAAAAACTTACCCAATTGGTACTAGGGGGTTGTGATGTCTACAGTGCAAATTTTGCTATATTTTTTACTATCCAAATACACGTTGTATAAGCTTTTATGTATAATGTTGATAATGGTAAAATAGTGGTAAATCTGGAATAAAAAGTGAAAAAAAAAGTTTTCTCTTTTTACTATTTAAGATTACCACATCCTGCATGTACCTCTTCGCCATAAATGTTAAAAAAAAAACAAAGATCTCAAATCCATTAATCTTAAAACAAGTTCTGAGGCATCACACAGTGTATTCGGCATTATTCGGTGTAATAACTTTCTATGAGGGAGCTTTTAGAGACATTAAACTCTTCAGATGTCTGGTTCCTATCACTATGAACAATTCTGACTCAGCAACTTTCTCTATAATGATGCATTTCATATCAAAACATTCTCAATGACTTAATAATTTAATTATGCAGATATTATAAAATTGACCTTTATATGTCAAAAATGTCTGCAGTTGGAAAAAAAAAACACTTTTCCTCCATTTTTAAGGGGCCTTTCTTATCTAATGCAACCTTCTATGATTTCAGAATTGCAAAGGTCAATATTGAGATAATTAACATCTCATCATTACTGCCTGAACAAAACCTTGTATCTACTCATCAGGAAAAGGAACAAACATTCACAACATATAATGGTACAACATATAATAATTTTGGATCTTTTCTACTGGTTCATCCATTATGGCTTTTCCCATAGTATAAATGGCAGCTGGAACCTTCAAATTACAACCCCATTTCCAAAAAAGTTGGGACGTTGTGCAAAAACGGTAAATAAAAACAAGATGCAATGATGTGCAAATTATTTAAACCCTATATTTCATTGAAAATAGTACAAAAACGACATATCAAATGTTGAAACTGAGAAATGTTATTGTTTTTTTAGAAAATATAAGCCCATTTTGAATTTGATGCCAGCAACACGTTCCAAAAAAAGTTGGGACGGGGGCAACAAAAGGCTGGTAAAGTTGTGTAATGCTAAAAAAACATGTGGTGGTTAATTGGCAAGAAATCAATAAAATGATCAGGTTTAAAAAGAGCATCTCAGAGGCTGAGTATTTCAGAAGTAAAGATGAGGAGGGGTTCACCACTCCATGAAAGACTGCACCATCAAATAGTGCAACAATTAAGAATAACGTTTCTCAACATAAAATAGCAAAGAACTTTTGCTTTTCATCATCTACGGTACATAATATCAATAAAAGTGATATGGAGAAATCTGTATGTAAGGGACAAGGCCAAAAACCAGTATTTGCTGGCCATGATCTTTGGTCCCTCAGACGGCACTGCATTAAAAACAGACACAATTCTGTAGTGGAAATCACTGCATGGGCTCAGAAACACTTCTGCAAAACACTGTCTGTGAAAACAGTTTGTCGCTGCATCCACAAATGCTAACTAAAACTCTAACACGCACAGAAGAAACTTCATATAAACATGATCCAGAAACGCTGCCGACTTCTCTGGGCCTGAGCTCATTTAAAATGCACTGCTGGGAAGTAGAGAAGTGTTTGGTGGTTCGACAAATCAAAATTTGAAATTCTTTTTGGAAATCATGGACACTGTGTCCTCTGGGCTAAAGACCACCCAGCGTGATCAGTGCACAGCAAAAACCAGTATTCATGATGGTATAGGGGTGCATTAGTGCACATGGCATGGGTGTTGTGTACATCTGTGAAGGCACCATCAATACCATCACATGTCTTGCTAACATATGCTGCCATCCAGTTGACGTCTTTTTCACTTTCAAAACTACAGCAATTGGTCTCCTCAGTTCCCAAACGTTTACAGAGTGTTGTTAAAAGATGAGGTGATAAACACAGTGGTAAATATGCCCCCATCCTAACTTATTTGGAATGCGTTGTCGGGATCAAACTAAAAATGGGCATATATTTTTCAAAAGACAATAAGATTTATCAGTTTCAACATTTGATATGTCGTCTTTGTAGTCTTAGCTTTAAAAATATGGTTTATATGATGTGCATATCATTGCATCCTATTTTATTTACATTCTGCACAGCGTCCCAACTTTTTTGGAAATGGGGTTGTATATAAAAAAGCGAAAAATTTCAAAAATGGAAATTTGCCCTGACACTGATGAAATACTGTTAACAGTTTATACATATTAACAATATACTACCTTAATTATAACATACAGAACTTAAAGCCTGCTACTGGGGATGAATGTGCTCCGACACATATTAAATTCATATACATTCAATATTTATGCTTTGAAGCCCTTCATTAGCTGGATCAGGTCAGTCAGAGCTCTAGAAGTAAGTTCTGCAGGAGCAGGGCTGAACACCACGTCTCTCCCCTGTAAACACTTCCCCATAATAAAGGAAACACACAACCTCTCCATTTTACAGGAAGCTAATGGAAACACATTCAGCAGGGTGAAATGCAATTTGTGCTTTAGAGCCTGAGAAAGCATTTTATATCCCCATCTTTACCGACACAAGCAGTTGCCTGGAATATTGATGATATTTTCCATTAAATGTACCAACAAACGCTAGGAAAGTCCTGCTTTCCTTTATAAGCAAAATGGAAATCATGCATAACGCTGCATTTTCATTGCAGCTGAGGGTTTTTCATTTCATCTCTCATTCATTTTCTATGGAGACGGGCTGCAGTCCGGCATGGAGGATTGAGAGAGCGGCACAGGAGCAAAGCAGGTCATGAGAGTGAAAAAGCAGGGAATTTCTGAACTTCACACAAATAAGAAGAGAATTCTGCTGAGCAGCTGAAATGTGGCAAAGTAAGAGTTTCATCATGAAGCATGTCCATCTTCAGTCTACAGGAATCAGAAGAATTCAGTGGTGGATAATTGCAGACGTATGCATTTGACAGTGAAATCAGTTGCATTCCAATAAAATGTATTGAGGCAAATTTCTTCCAAAAAAAGAAGCAATACTGCATTATACCAGTTCATAATACATACAGCAGTATATATTATAATGAAATGATGCCTCTGATGAATGACAAATACATAGAGGAGGCAATGGAGGAAAATGCCCCCTTTAAAGAAAATGTCCATTAACTGCAAAGCTAAACTCGTCTGTGCTTTTAACACGTACAGGATGATGATGCATAAACCTTTGCACAGTTAGAGGAAAGAAATGAATAAAAGAAAATCTTTAAAAGAGGCATCTTGCCAGAAGCCCCTCTCCCTGGGTAAGAAGCCCCCCTGGTGAATCATGCATAAGTTTGTCATCAAGGTTTTTACAGAACGTAAAATCACTGACATTGTAAATTCTTGTATTAAATCATATTTAGTGCCTTTGTCTCCATTATGTCTTCCACTTCATTTTAATAAGCTACACTCCTAAAAAAAGATGGTTATTCAAGGGTTCTTTAGTAAAGAAAAAGGTTCTATATAGAACCATGAACACTCAGAGAACCCTTTGCATGATTATAGGGTTCTCTGCATCATGAAAGCGTTCTTCAGAATGTGCTATAGATAGTTTTATATGGAACATTTTTAAAAAGGGATCTATACAGCATAGAAGGATCCTTCTATTATTATGATGTCAAGCTTGTAACAATAGAAGAACCCTTTTTGGTGCTATATAGAACCATTTTCAAAAAGGTTCTATGTGGAACCATCTACAGCATATTCTCCATCAATCTGAACAATCATTTCATAATGTAAAGAACCGTTTAATTATGCATGAGTGTTCAAGGTTCTTTACAGAACCTTTTTTTTACTAAAGAACCCTTGAAAAACCATCTTTGTTAAAAAATGTCTGAAAAAGTAGAATGACAGTAAAATAGAACAACCTGAAATGTCAATTTTGTTTATTAATTAAACAGTTATGAGGATTAAACTAATTCAATATTAAAAAATTAAATTGATATTGTGAACATTTATGTAATGGTATTTTTGTTATCATTATTATTATTATTATTATTAGTAGCAGTAATAGTAGTAGTAGTACAGCAACAACTAATAATGCAAACAAAGCAATAGCAATCAATATTAATTAAGCGTAAATGATTATTAGACATGACAGAATAGATCAGGTATGAATGAAACTCTGCAGAGCTCCAGCAAGCAGCTATTAGCTATTATATAGCTAATTAAAACTATAGATAGCATGTAACATTAATGCTAGCTAGTCAGTGAAACTAAAGAACAGCCTTGTCTTTCTGATGAAAATCCTACTACATAACATTTCTGGAACAAAATGCTAAAGAGGCATTTTGCCCTGGTCTGGAGGAACTTCTTACCTCAAAGGATCAACTGCAAAATCTTACCCTGGGGGGCTTCTTTTCCTGAGTTACAGGGTGTGTGCTAACCATGAGGATAACAAGTTAGAACACAAAACCTTTATGTAAAGAGGTAAGAAAATAAGAGCTAATTAACGGAACCCAGCAAACATTTTTGGAAGACATCTACAGTCAAATGACATGTATTGTTGAACATAAGTTCACATCCTCTTTAGAGTCACTTCTGCATATTTTAATGCACAGTTGCTGTTCGTTTGAGTTCAACACACTGAAAAAATAAAACAGTATATATAAAAAGTGCCATAACCTTTTGCACAAGTCATATTTATGTTTTCTCAATATGCTAAATTAAGCAAATAAACACTAACTATCTAAAGAAAAATGTATCTCGACAGGTATGACAATTTTTATTTCAGTACATCAATTAAACACAGCAGCTGCCCTTTACAATGTGTGGAAACTTAATGACAAATGGACCAATAGGAATGCTGAAAAAAAGGCTGGAATTCAATCTTTTTACATTAACTTACATTAAAAGTAAAGAATGTTTTTCACTCTCCTGTAAAGTTGACTTGTTTTTCTTTGGACAGTATATGACTGTTATCAGAAAAAGTCTTGTTTAACAAAAGCTGAACTAACCACACAAAAACTAAAGCTTTAAATTATAACTGGACATCATCAGATGTTGGCATTTTAACTCCACAAGAGAGTTTCAATGACAACACTTTCCTACATTGGTTAAATTTAGGGTGTCTCTTCAGGGGGCAGAAGAACTACCCTGCAAGTCTGCATATGCTTTTACTCTGGACAGCTAAACGTGTTTGCATTGCATTGATACATCCTTAAAGCAAACAGCTGGTGAAAGCAACACAACACAACTGCCAAAGGCAACAAGATAACTACCTAACCCCAAAAGATCAATACTATCTTGGTACACAATACGCTGTTAAACCCTTTTGTTTCTCTTTGGACCACATAAGCTTTCCATTTCACATCCATTCTCTCAGAGAGCAAACTGGTAAACACCAACTCCATCTCTCTGAAGAAGCTGCCTCTTAATTCAAGAATCATCAGACATGAAAGCCAACCCCTGAGAGCTGGCTAACCTTCGGGCCAAGGAACCCGACCTTCAAAGCCCAATCTGCAGTAAAGTGCAGGGCTGGCGTGTCGCTCTGCGTCAGAGGCCGCTGTCTTAAGAGCTGGAAGATGGGCTGGCAGGAGAGCACTTTCCCAGCTCCCCTGCTGGAGCTTAATTCTCTGCCATTATGAACCAGGGAGCCTTGCTCTTTCCCACCATCGCCCAACGGAGCCTAAAGCCTCCCATCACTAATAATGACACCACGGGAAAAGGGGGGGGTGAGTGGAGCCGGGCCTATTTTCACTTCTGAAAATCCGTCTTCTTGGCTGCGCTCCTTCTACCCTGGGATCAAATTATAGTTTCACGAGGGGTGGAGGGGGCACGAGAGAGGGAAAGCGGAGATCTAAATTGCGGAGAAGACGAAGTTTGGAGGATGTGCTTAAGGTGTGCAGCCGCTGGGGGTTGCCTGCATAATTAAAGAGGGTAATGTTGTTCAGTGAGGCGGCACGTACACGAGGGCGGCAAAGAGGACTGGTGACTCACAGGGGAAAGGGTAGCTTATTTGTGTTATATGTATTCAGAATGGTTGTTTTCTTCAGGATATAAATGTGGCGTTGCATAACAATGAGACTATCGGTTCAAGTAAAACAAGGTACGTGACCGTAAATCTGGATGCAACACTGCTTTCGTTTAATTACAGGTACAAACTCTTCGCTGCAGTGATGGTGGTGATGCTAATATCGACAACTCTGTGCAACATCTCGATGACTAAGCCATTTGTATGCAAAAACATTGTTTAAAATGTGAATGACTAAGCTTCTAAAACAACCAGTGACAGCAATGACAATACTACTGATCTGGCCCATTATGAATAAAGGTTTCATGTGAGTCAAGTTCTGCAACAGCAGAAATGTTTCAGTAAACTGAACATGACTGGTTGAATATAGAAATTTTCTGAAAAGCACAACAGCAACAATCAGCTTCAAACTGCACCCACAATTTGGTGGTGCTGCTGTCCAGAATTACAGCTCATACGGGGCGGCCCAAAATCTGGCTGGCACATCATTGGGCAGGCACAAGCTCCTTACCTCCTGGATCATGCCAATGAACTCTGAGAAGGCCCAGTTGAGCTGGTTGAGGACGCTGTTGAGGAAGCTAGCGGCCATGTCTTTGTCCTGACTCAGGAGCTCCGCCATGTGCCTCTGGAGCAGAAGGGATGGGCAAGGCTCTGCAAGAAATCACAAAAATGCATGTTTACCAGCAGAAATACACGCTAGATATAGAGTTTCTAGGCTTAATTGATAATTAACACCTGCTGTGGCCCATACCAATACCAATACCATTTTTTTCTTTTGAATTTTAAAATACATAAACAGTACCGAGTAGAAGTCACAGACCACTCTTCAATTTATTGAGCTTAAGTATTTAAAAAATATTTAAAACTTCTATTTTTTAGCATTTAATGTGTCCACGCTTTTACTTTATTACAGCTTGCATTTTGTTCAAGAGATTTGCTTTCAGTTTTTCAAAGAAACCTGGAGGGATACTTTTCCACACCTCCAAAGTTCAGTCTTAGAAGTTGGATGAATTTTCTGCTTCTCAAGATTTAAGTAACCTCAAGTACAAATTTATCATAAATCCATACAACATTTTCCAACATCTCAGATGTTCAGTTTCTAAAGCAAATGTTCTTCTTTTTTGTCTATATCCTTTTCTCAGCAAGATTATCTTGCATCTAATCTCCTCAAAAATATCTTCTAAAAACAAATAACGTACTTCATTACCAAATTAACTGGAAGTAAAACAAAGGAAGGGTGGTCTATGACTTTTGCAGTGTTGCAGATTGGAATGATGACTTTTCAAAAGACTAATTAGATTACTGATACTGAAAATCTATACAGTATCAGTGCAGACAGAAGCTGTACACCTGGACACTGGACTAACCGTATTTTCCCCCTTTTGGTGAATATCTGCTGCCAATATACCATGAACCATGTCCGCAATCATTCATCAGTACGATACTTCTGACAGTGGCCCCCAAATTCATCACAGTGGACCTTCAGTGCTTCAATAAACCAACAACAACCATGTCAAATGGTTTGAATGCTATCAGTGTTTTATCCTGTATCATTAATCTGAAAGCTGCAGTTAAGAGCTCAGAAATGACTTCCTAGCTTTGAGCCATTCTGTCCTTTTATCTCAGGGCCTTGATGAGCAGATGACACGTTTCTCACTGTAGTTAATTAATTATATCAGCATTATAACACATCCGATATTCCAGTCACATGCTGAACTTGAACAGATTGTGACAAAACTTGTGTGCGAGAAAACACTAAGACGTATGAAAATACCTTGCGGTATGGCAGCAACCAGAATTAAAACAAAATGATCCCTTTTCTATAATCAGCTGTTACCCCTCTCATTAGGCCCACACGCCTAATTCCCCCGTAATGAGTGATGAAAATAGCATAAGCCACAATACGCCGACGCTCATCAACAGCGGTCAAATGGGACAAAACTGTATCACACAAAACAATGCGAACAAATGACATTGCCGTCCGGTTGGCGGCAGCGCACCTACGGCTGATACAAAGAAATGAGGTATGGGCCGACAGCATCATTACCGCTATCTCACTGGCCTTTTGTATAGAGACAAAAGGCTGCCCTGCACACAGAGTATACTGGGTAATTCAATAGCCTGTCCAGCAGAGCGCCTGATGTGTGAAAAGCCTCAGAGAGCAGAGCAAAGAGGGCAGTGGACACTCTAAATGAAGCTCTGAAAGAAGCTAATCAGTTGACCGGGCAGTGCCGTCCTGTAATAGAGAAATAACCTTTATGTTTAATTAGATGGGAGCAGTCTCTCTCTCTATGGTGTTCAACAGCAGCTGGGACAATAGGGTTGAAAGGGCAAAGGAGAGTGAACAGGAGCGATAGAAAGACTGAACATGAAAGGGAGGGTGGGACACTTCTCTGAAATAGGGAAGGAGGCATTGATTGGGAAATGGAAGTCGATGTCAGGCTGATCCACTTTTATGTCCTCTGTGGGAGCGAGCACGTGTTCTTCAGCCAGAGGCTGTCCAAGGTGGCTAATCATTCTGTCACTGCTGTCGCACTTCAATCTGAAGATGCTTTGAGGGGATAACTGAATGCAAACACCACACATGAGCACGTTTCCCGCAAGCAAATGGATGGAAAAAAGAACAAGAAAGAGGGCAGAGAAGAGGTTACATCCACACAGGATCCAATACAGTCGCCTGATGCACCCTGGTTCACTCTGGCTTTACTGTAAAACAAGAGGGAAGGACAGAATATGCCGAAAGATCAAATAGCAAGCCCACAAGGTGACCCCTAGATAGTCAATACGGATGTAAGGCTCATTCTTTGACGTGAGCGACATTTTATAGGTTAGAAGCCAAAAAATGAACATGGATTTTTTTCAGGAAATAACAGGCTGTAAGATCCTGAGAGGCCGTGTTTATATCACTGTGGTCGATACAAAACCTTGTATCTCCAAAATGGTAACTTTACAGGAGAAGGAAAAACCTACTTTAATTTTAATGCAAGTCAATGGAACAGACTTTTTGTCCAAGTAATTTTGGGCTATTTCCTTTGGTCCATTCATCTTGAAATTTACACACAACGTAAAGAGCAACAGGCATTTTCAAATTATGTCAAAAACTGACAAACAGACAAAAACGGAGATATGAGGTTTTGTTCCGATAGCAGCGCTATGTTTATATTGTATTTTTTTGTATTGTGATATGTTTGTAATGTGTTTATTTGCATAAACTAAAGGGTTTGACTAAATGTCTGTAGCCAAAGTGCACAACTAACTGATTGTTGTGCTCCTGGTGATTCTTCTGAATTTTATCGCAGTTCCAAAAGAGACATAAAGGAGGAAACAGGTCACTGGTTGGAAAATAAATGGGAAAGCATGTAACACTCAACATGGTGTCTGTTTAAGGGGAAAGGCCCTCCCTTCAAACAGAAGAGCCAATTGGCTTGCTGGTAAAGCCTCAAGCAGGAAAGCAACCCCTAACCCCTGTTGCTGAGATAGCAAGAAGCCAGAACAACCTAAAAACATTTTTTTGTGAATTATTTGAGGTAAAAACACTACAATCTATTTATGAGATTTATATCAGACTTTACCATTGATTCCACATATGTTTTTGCATCACTAATCTGGCCTCAAGTTTAGTTGTTAGGTCTCTCCCAATTCAAAGATAGGAGTCTGGTCTTGTATGATGGAAATAACTGTCGGGTGGCGATGCCAAGATGGCCACTGAGCAAACAGACTTTCCTACAAGGACTGGTTGTAATTAGATCCACTTGATTCCCCCTTTCAAACACTTCTAAAATCTCCTTCAGTTCACAATGAGGTGTGTCGAATTAGGAGTTACCAACTGCTCAAGTGTAGTGAACCAATGGAGTATTATGGGAAAAATTGTTTTTGGTTATAAAGCGTGATTCAAAAAGATTCATCCCATCATTTTATAAATCATTACAGAACAGTGCAGTAAATTGTAAATGGTTTAATTGAGCATAAAGTTTATCATGTAATTTTACAAGTGCTCAGTATGAACCTCATCAAACTGTGCAGACAACATCAACACCATAGTCAAATTCATCCCATACTCAATTGAGCGTGTCGGGTGTCACTGCACTCACGGCTCTTTCAATGCGATTTTGGAGATCATCCAGTGTTGTGGAACCAATGATGAATGGCCGACTGCCAATGAAAATCATGTTGCACAGTTATGATGGATTCACTCTTATTGAAGTGGAGAACGCTAAACTCTTTCTGCTCAGGGGTCGCCATCTCCTCGCAGATGTGATTGGTTCCTAGATGCCTCACGGTTGTAAAAAATTATGGCGCTTTGAAATCGGATTGATCTTTTGAATCACTCTGTATATCTGGGTCAATGACGTTTTGTGTCCATTATTAAGAAAAAAATGTATATATACATAACATATAACACACTATTCTACAGTCCTTCCATTACGTATGTTTTTAGTGTATCACAATTAAACTCATTTTAGTCATTTATGTTTCTGAAAATCAGGCGGTCCAATCATACACACTGATAAAGTAAAATATTAAGCAAGGCAATTTGGTTATAAAAAATTCTAAACAAATTATGAAACTTTTAAGAAACAGTGAACTGGGTACTGCAACATATAGAAGACCCCAAGTGACCTTCACGGAACAAAGCCAATCCTGAGTACAAGGACGAAGGTTTATATAAGGGTCTAAGTACAAAGGCTAGTTCATGTGTCCTCAATAGTCATAAATAATTTGGCTGCTGGCAAGTGTATTTAATTGTAAAATATTAGTAAAATAGAATAAAAAAAAACATCAGATGAGAAGTAATGGAAAAGGAAGAAGGATTTGATAAAATCACAATGACAGCATGAACCAGTGAACGCAGGATTGAATTGGCCTGAACTGTGAGATCTATTTGGCCGACACCCAGCAGACCCTAATGCCAAGTCAAAACACATCCGCAATCTTTAACAGACTCAAACAAACAAGCACAAACGCACACGTGGCCCTCAGCATATTCACAGATAATGGATGTATTCAGATCAGCACATACTTGGTTCTTTCTCCTGGGCTTCACCACAGACAACAAGCAAAGCATGCGTAATTCCTAATTACAATGCATTAAGCGCATGGAAATGAAGAGGCTGCTGATTCCAACAAGAAATGCAAGAGAATTGCTGTTCAAAAGAGGCGTCTGTTTTGTGGCTTTGTAAAACCTGCTGCTCTGAAGTCGATTTCCCAATGTTCTTCATTAGATCAGACAATACTGGCCTGAGCAAATGGGTTTCCATCTGCAGCGCACCAAGATCTCAGCGGACTTGATCCTGAACGGCCACAGATGCAGTTTTATGCAAATCCACAATAAGGGGAGATTTACAATTCATATGAGGATGCATTAAACCCCCGTCGTGATTCTCATGTTAACAATCACCTCAAGATGTTTGCGTCAAACATACAGCACTTATCTAATTCTTAAAGGGACAATATCACCTCGTTTTTCTTGCTTTTTTATTAAAATGATAGAGTGTGATGTAATGTGTAATCACTGTTACAAGTTTTAAAGTGTGCTGTTCACTCTTATTTTAAAAACTGCCTGTTTTGACCTCATTACAGCTGTGATATCACGATCATGAACATATTTACATACAGTTGTGTGCAAAGGTTTGAATACGCCTGGTAAAATT